ACGGAACATGTTGAGTGCAAAGGGTGCCAGCAACTAGAAGTGCTCGTAAGAAATGGTAGTCAAGGTCGATGTGTTTGGCACGCTTGTGAGAGACAGGATTCGAGCTTAAGAAAATCGCACTCTTGTTGTCACAGAGTAATAGAGGCCGATGTGTGACAGTGACCTTAAGATCTCGTAGGAGATGAGTAAGCCAGAGAACCTCAGCAGCGGTAAAGGCAAGAGCACGGTATTCGGATTCGCAACTGGAACGAGAAACGGTAGGCTGTTTTTTGGCACTCCAAGAGACAAGATTGTCCCCAAGATAAATGGAATAACCAGAGGTGGAGCGTCGAGTATCAGGACACCCTGCCCAATCAGCGTCAGAATAGGCCGTGAGACCAGTGGAGGAGGATGCAGAAAAGGTTAAGCCAAATTGAAGAGTGCCCTTGACATAGCGTAGAATACGTTTGACGGCCTGGAAATGTTCTTCAGTTGGAGCATGAAGAAATTGACTGACGGAGTTGACAGGCTGAGCAAGATCTGGGCGCGTGATTGTCAAATACTGCAAGGCACCAACTAAAGAGCGATAAAGAGTAGGATCCGAAAAGGGTGCACCATCAGAAGAGAGGCGTTGAGACACAATCATCGGTGTAGCGACAGGCTTGCAATCAAGTAATTGAGCACGAGCAAGGATGTCATGAGCATACTTGGTTTGACTGAGAAAGAGTCCATTAGGAAGAGAAGAAGCTTCGAGGCCAAGAAAATAGCTCAAGGAGCCTAAGTCGTTGAGGGCAAATTCCGAGTGCAGCTGCTGAATGAAGTGGTTTAGAAGTGATGAGTTATTCCCCGTAATAATGATGTCATCAACATAGAGCAACAGATAGATGAGATCGGCGTTCCTACTGAAGACAAAGAGAGAAGTGTCAGCACGACTGCAAGAGAAACCAAGTTGGGAGAGAAATGTACTGAAGCGGTGAAACCAGGCCCTCGGAGCTTGTTTCAAACCATATAGAGCCTTTTTTAATTTGCACACATGAAGAGGATGCCGAGGATCAACATAGCCAGGAGGTTGTTCCATATAAACATCTTCACAAAGAACACCATTAAGAAAGGCATTCTTGACGTCAAGTTGACGTAGGGGCCATCGATTAGACACGGCAAGAGAGAGAACAACTCTGACGGT